TTTTACTTCTAGTTCTCCAGAAAAACTCTGCATGGATTTGGATAGATGTGCTGCAAGCGCCAAGAAAAGAGAGGTTGTTGCCAAGAAGAGTTTACATCTTGGTTTTAAATTGGTTAAATCAGACTTTGTTTCCCTTTACATAGATGGACTTGTTCTTTTTTATGCTTTCTGTCATGAGGTTATATTCATGTTATACAGGATGCATGTATAATATATGAGCATCTGTAGCATAATATAGGTACTTCTATAGGAATTCATGTATTCATCCAACACTAAAAAACTGAACCTGTCACAGAGTTTCTCCTGAGGCAGTATAATTAAAAGCAGTGGACACTGAAAGAACCTAGGGACACCCTGCTGTCTGTGTGGCATTGGCCCTGTCACTCTCTCTCTTTAACCTAATATTTATTATGAAGGAAATATTCTGAGTTTTGCTTTGTTCATTAAAAAAAAAAAAGTCCTGCAGCAAAAATAGCTTTAACAGCTGTAAGCTGTGCCCTGTGGAAACTGTTGAGAGAGCCTATGACTAACAAAAGAAAAATTAATTATTCAAATTAGCAAAATAAGAGGGATTAAATAGCAAAATAAGTGGAATCTTCTGCACACACACACACAAAATACTGTGGTGTCTCTACTCCCATCTTACCAGTTCAGGGTTCCATCTGCCATACAACTCTAAGCAGAAATTCCATTCTCTCCTCTTCCCTGTACGTCATATATTCTTTTCCAACTGTTGCTCTTCATTCCATGGCCACTAATCATGCTCATTCTCACTGGGCTTCTCTGTCTGTCTGTCTGTCTCATCATTAAGCTTTAAAGCAGGTTTGAAAACAGGTTTCCCCAAGAAAGTGGGGAAGCCTTCCTTTTGTTTCTCAGTGATTCCATTTTATCAAAAGTCCTGCTGGCTACTTGCCACCTGAGTTTACTATTCAGCATGATAACCAGAATCAAAATTAAGAGAGGGGCAGAGAAAGATTGTATATTAATCAGAGTCAGAACTGGAGGCAGGTATGACTACCTTCTAGTGCATGGAAAAAAAATATAGCCATTCACTTAATTGGAAGAAAATAAACAGTGGATTTAAGGACACCTTTGGAATATAAGTTAGTTTGCATCCTTTTAATAATAATTGTATAATTGGTCCCTTTCGGCTTCACCCCCTCCAATACACAAACAACAAAAGGAATCTCAAAGGGGGAATCACAAAGAGAAACAGGGAAGGAAGACCACAAGAAGAAAGGACTTTACAAAACTTTATTTCCAGAAGAATGAATTAAAGAGAACTAACATGGAGGCACATATACTGGAACTGGCACTATAGTACTACTACCTAATTACAAGGCTGAATCTTGTAGCATATATTTTATATGTAGTGCCAGTTAGCAGAAATTACTATATGAGGAACTGAGAAGACTGCAAATTGTTTGTTTGTTTAACAAATGCTTTTGTCATCAGAATACTTCAGGTAAAATCTTCAGCACTGAAAAAAATGAAATTAGGTTCCACTAACATTTATTTATTAATTTTCTATTTTCAAAAAATCTCACGATTGTATACAAAAGATTTAAAAAGATTAGAACTAAGCAACAGTAATTGATCTAACATTTTTAAAACTGGGTAAATGAAACGGTTTTGGCCTGGCACTAAAATGAGTAAAGAGTACATGGGGAAATAGTGACCTATTTATCAACTCTGTTGTCCTCAGTATAATTATGAAAAGCTCTTCAGGCAGAGGAATACCACCACAAGATTTTTGTCAGCAATAAGTCCTGAAAAAGTACATTCTGGAGGAATGTTGGGGGGTTGGCCAGGGAACTGCTGCCTCAACATTCCCGCAGAAGGCCCTCAGACTGGACCTGTTGTCAGGACCTGCAAAAGACTGCAGCTTCCCTGGTAGCCTGATAGGGAAAGCACCCTGGCTCACCTTACAAAATACTTGGAGGATAAGACAGGATATGTAGGTTGCTTGCAGGATCAGTGCAGGTTCACTCATCCAAACAACATGGGAGCCAATGTGGAACCCTATGTGGAATTCTTGCTCATCTTTGGCCCAGCAATTTAAGTCTTGGTAATGGCTGGCTCATGATCCTGATTCAGCTTCTATTCCTGCCATGCCTTTGCTGATATTTGATGCTTGCCTGTTCCTGACTCTGCCTTTGCTTCTGATTGTGTCCTGCCTTTCCCGGCATTTGACTTTTGCCTGCTCTTGACTTTATTTTTGCCTGTGGCCCTACCGTGCCTCACCAGTGTGACCCTTACCTAGGAAAGCCTTGGCTCTCCTTCCACCTCCATCACTCTGATGATCCAGTCAAGAATGCCTACCACTTACATCCCAGGACTGCCACTTCTCAACTATGCCAACTTGGACTGTTGTAGTTAATTTTTCTCCCTTTGAAACCAATGAAAGAAATAGAAACAAAAGACTAAAAGAATCATTTTCCTGTCCCTCACTCTTTCTTACCTTACTTACTGATTTACTTTAGAATAAAAATTTTAATTTTGATCATAAAAATAGGAAGTACTGTTACTCCTGCTTTCTCATCAGGGAACATCTTAACTTGCTATTGCTCACACTTTTCTACTTTAATCACATCCAGCTTTATAGCATTTCTAGTACTGAACATACATTTTTTAACCTTTGTCCATGATCAGATGTGAAAAGAAAGTGTCAGCAAGGAATGTAATAAAAACATTTGAATATAGATAATTTAAATACATAATTTACTATTAATGCAACACATTTTATCATTTTTATTGTATCTATTTTAAAGCTGAGTCTGGAATAAAGAGAGATAACCTCTTCAGATTTGTAAAATCTGCAGCTCCTAAAAGGTAATAATGGGGGACATGTTCCAAAAGAAATCATGTTTACCTACAATCCAGAGAGTCCTATATTTGTGCATGGAAAGCAGTGACAACACTCCCATACAAACTTCATGGGTTGATGCTCTATAAGAACCCTAAGACTGGAGAAAGTATTGCTGGAAGTTGATGGCTCTGAAGATGCTACATGCACACAAAGCGGTTCACACAGTGGTTTGAATCTCAGCCATGGTAGAGAGGTATAGAAATGAAATGTATTATTGTATAATAAGCTTAATTTTTCTACTATTTCCTGAAAAGAAGTCAAACACTAAATTTGGATTACTATTTAGGAATAATAATTTGCTATGGATTATAAATAATTGTGAAGCATTGCTATAGTTCAAACTTTAAAGCAGCAAGAAAAGGATTTTACTAAAGTCATTCTAATAAAATTAGTAAAGATTTCCCAGTCTTTTCTCTAAAAGAATATGGTTTAGATACTCCAGAAATCTACATGAAGATAATGCTCCATTTTTGCTTTACAGCAATTTTGTATTATTTCATTTATAGAATATGCTGTCAAGTTCACAGCATGAAGCTTTGCAAGGAAAAGGGTTGATTTAATAGTTCTTCATTACAACATTTCATGCAGAATCTTATGATTAGCACCCTATGTCTTGACACTGTAAACTACAGTTTTCCATACAAATATGAACTTAGTTAATATTTTCCTTTGAAGCAGCAACACAACTGTAATGAAAGTTAAAAAAGAAGTGACTAAATTCTTGTTTGGATTATTGAAGATGTAGCTGAACATCAACATGTAGCTAGGTTTATTCATTCTGATTATTTAGAAAAAATGTCCTATAGTATTTTCAAAGAAAAAAAATCAGATGTCTGAAATACAATCAAATTCTGTGTGTGTGTGTGTGTGTGTGTGTGTGTGTGTGTGTGTGTGAGTTCGTGCGCGCGCGCACGTGTGTGTGTTGGGGCAGTTAATACACAATTGCTTTCAAGCACAGTCATTTTCCTATGTAAGTAAATAGTACATAAGAAGATAAGAAGGATACCCTTATATAGAACCAGTTTGGGGAACAGCATGCCTTGCATGCTAAAGGTTACAAATTCTGTCCCTAGTATCTCCAAATGTAGCTATTGGTCTCCTGTCTGAAATCCTAGAAAGCTGCTTCTAGTCAAATAATATGAAGCAATATATACAAATTATTTCTGACTCCATGACAGCTGCCTATATAGTTTCACTAAGAGACTGGCCCCATTTCCTTTTTTTCTAAAGAGCTTCATGAGGACATACAAATATGGGCTCAAAGAGGAGGTCAGAAGTATTTACATGATCAACAGAAACATGTAAGTAATTTTGTAGCTAACATATTTGTAATGCATAGACCAAATGATTCCATTTGTATTTTTGTCATTCAAGCACCTGTAACACCATTTTTAAAACAAATCTGTCATGAGTAAGTATCTAACTTATGGCAAGCAATAGGTAAATACTGCAGAATCAGAAGAAAACTCACTGGAGGTATTTATTGTCTTGTTTAGGACTACCAAAATTTGCTGCAGCTTTTAAAGAAAAAAATGACATGAAGATGCATGTCAACATGTGATTGTTATATCTGTATCTTTCTGCTGCCTTGTTTGAAGGAGCATGTTTGAAAATGACATAGAGTATGCTAGGAGAAAAAACTTCTCTGAATTCAGATATCAGGGTTGTTCAACATTTTCCACTGGTAGGAGAAGCCAAGTAGGAGTCATTTAGCAACATGAACTAGCACACTGGCTCATTTATAACAACTCAGGGTTTTAGGCCTATGCATTTCAGGCATTACAATGTCCAATCCATCATGCACCAGAACATACATACACTCCCACCTATGCCAAGTGAACATGTTTTATTTTCCCAAAACTTTTAACACAGAGCTCTTTAACATCCAGCTTAGCTTTTAATTTTGGGACGGTCTGGAAATTTGTCTAGTTTGCTTTTTATTCTCTGCTGTTTGATTTCAAATATCTTACTTCCTTATGCTTAATTGTTTTATTATGATGCTTGCTCAATTTAAGCTTATATGTTATGTGCTGGGCGTTCAGAGTGAAATTTCAACAACATGGGAAAACTTAGTACTGTATCACTTGGACAAAATCATGTGCTTAATTCTTATGGAACACCATTAACTTACTTTGCCTTGTTCCAAAAGTAGTTCTTCCTTTTTCATTGAAAGAATGCCTTTGTCTGTGATTTTATCTTTCTGGCCATCAATGACATAATCCAGCTGAAAAATAAGACAATATTTGTGAAAGGAAGCAATAATTACCATTAATGTAATGATTCAGATTCAACAGTAGATTTCCCCCATGAGGAAACAAATTTGTGACTTCTGGTCCTGTCCATTAGACACACCTATCCCACTGGAAATCCAGATTGAGTATATTTGAATGAAAGCTGGCATGCTGTCCTAAAAGAAAAGCCTCATATTGTCTGAAGACTTTCCATGTGATTTAGCCCTACATGTGTTGAGTTTTTATGAGCATGTCTTATTAAAATCTTATATCATGTATGGGATTGTCTGGTGGAACAGATGCACCTAGTGGGTTGAGTGGGAAGGGTGTAATCTTGTTTTCTTATTGTGCATAGTAAGACAGTATCAGTCAAACCAGGGTAAATGTAATAATCAGAGTAATTAGATTCCCAAAGAGTCATAGGGAAATCTATTTCCAACTGAAGTCAGCTACAAAACTTGCACATCTTAATTAAACTGATGAGTACCCAAGAAGTATAGAATGCAGGTTTTATCTAAATCTGGCACAAGAGGAAGATCATTCATGCAGTGGAGTCTTCCTGTGCCATTCTCTTGACTACATCTTCCCATGCCACATTCCTGAAGAGTCCCCAAGCCCCAAGAAATTCTATGGGGGAACAATTTCTAGTAAACAAAAGACTTTCCATTCATGCAGAGACTGAATACAACCAACTTACACTTATTTTCTATTTTGAATTGCATGCATATTCCATTACAACTATAAAATGTCTTCACACTCCTTTCATTCAAATTTCATTTTAATCAATGAATTTGGACAAAACAATATAAAATAGACCGGTTTAATGAAGCTCACTTCAGGACTCAAGCTATAGTATCTAATAGTAAAGAGTATCTATAATAAAGAGAAACTGTGTATGGTCAGTTTGGATATAAGAATCATTTGGTCAAAACTTCACCTAATTTGCAATGTTTTCTTAGTCATCAGAACACACACTCGTCTTCTGTTTGTTTAATCTCAGACAAAGGGTTGCTTTGGGTAACTTTTCCTGAAACATCATGACAAATTTGAAAAACAAAAGAGAACTATTTGTCTCTATAATTACTATAGTTTAATAGCATTTCTTGTAGTACCATCAGGTGGATATCTGACATGTCATCTTGACTTTGGAAAACAAAGCTCTGTGTAAGCCAATTATTAATACACTACACAGAAGACACATGGCTGGTCACTGATGTACCAACTAACAGGACTGGAAGCACTATGGATAAGTAATGCTAAGACTATAAATGATGAAGCCTTCCCTGCAAAGTAAGGGGGAAAACAGCTCAAAGGATGATGTTAACAGAGTACAACTGCTTGAGTTCATTGTACTGAGTTATCAGTGTTATCAACATATGGATTATCCAAATAAGTATTTAAAATTTATCTATATACTATTGAGAGTCCACGTGTTTAAATATATTAAAGATAATTGGGTACACAAATCTAAGTGAAAGTTGAAGCAAGAGGGTCTGTCTTCACATTATGATATGAAATTATATGCAGTGTTAATAGCCTCTCCTTCAGGTATCTAGACATAATGATAATCCACCTCTTTTCCAGGGCACAATTCTCCTGTCACTTATGCCTACTAAGTATCTGCTTTTGGCATCATTTAAGTGGAAGAGATATGTAATAGATTTCTTTTGTTAAGATTGCATGAAATCCCAGTTTCCTTTTCTAGTTTCTCATTTCATGGGTCACTATAGTATCCATTGTGTGGAATAAACCAGGAATTCTGCATTTCACATACACACTTTTGAAGCTTGTGCAAAATGCAATAGTCAGATTGATAGTGAGCACCTGAGATTCTAGTCTGATTGTCCTGGCTTCCTGTATGTTTCCAAGAAGAATCAGATTGCTGGTTCTGAAAGCCCTATGTGGCTACAGACCACAATATCTGATGAAGCACCTTCCCTTGGTATGAACCTAACTATACCCTATGAACAACATCTGGTGCTCTCTTCTGAATGTCTTGTCCAATGGAGATTGGAGGATGGCAAGAAGGGAAAGGGCCTTCTCAGTGGTGGTCTCTAACTATAGAATGTTCTGCACATTCATAGAGGGATCACAGTGTGAGGGGGAAATGGTTTAAAAGAAAAAGGGAAGCAGCCCTGAAATATCCTGCAGTGTGTAGCGGGTAAAGACTCGTTCCTCTTGAGGTATCCACTGGGATATCTGTAGAAGAAAGAAGCAGGGAGGAGAAGGCCAGGAACCCATGATGGACTCAGTTATCTGTCATGTGCACTGTGAATCCTCAGATGATTGAACCATAGCACATGGTTTGCACCATAGTGCAGATTAATATATGTAGTCCAAAGCTGCCCAATAAGACTCTAGGACTGCATCCTGAGATGGAAAATGAGGGTTCAGTGATTAGTCCATTTTTACAAGAAAAAATCAAAACCAGATTACAAATTAATTATATCAGAGACTGTAAAAAGAACACCTATCTTCATTTTAACACTCAGGTTCCATTTTTCACCCATATGGGTCATTCCTTGTTCTTAGGGTAACTATTAGTGGGGAAGCATTGGGATGGCAGTCAGTGATAAGTGGGATCCCCCAGGGCTCTCTCCTCGGACTGATCCTGTTCAATCTTTTCATCAATGACCTGGAAGAGGGGTTGACAAGTCTGCTGACCAAATTAGCAGATGATACTAAAATGGGGATGGTGGCTACAACTGAGAAGCAGGTACTCTGGATCCAAACTGATCTGGACAGACTATGGAAGTGGGCAAGGACAACAAGATGGCATTCGGTTTGGATAAGTGCGGGGTCTTGCACTTGGGACATAGGAATGGGTGTCATAAGTACAGGTTAGGGGACAAGTGGCTGCAGCATTTGTGAAAAGGATTTCGGGGTGCTAGTCAACTGCAGGATAGATATGAGTCAGCAGTGTGACGCAGAAGTGTAGCTTCTAGATTGAGTGAAGTATTGTTGCCACTCTATACAATTCTGGTGCACCTGCAGCTGGAGTATTGTGTTCAATTTCTTGTTACAAAAGGGATATAGCAAAGTTGGAATTGGTGCAGCAAAGGGCCACAAGGATGGTGGCTGGTTTGCAGGGTAAGCCATATGAGATGAGACTGAGGGATCTGGGTCTTTTCAGCCTTAAGAGGAGACTCAGAGGGGATATGTTAGCAACATACAGGAATGTGAGGGAGGTGGTCATGCAGAGGTGGGTCATGACCTTTTTTCACATGTGGTTGCATCCCAGTGGAGCAAAGGTGAGGGAACCAAGATTCAAGGTCTAGGGTATGGAATGGGCTTCCACATCCCCCTAGGTTGCTGAAGCCCTATTGGTGAGGGTGTTCAAGGATAGGCTGGACATGCACATGGTAGGCATGTCATGAGCGGAGCCAGCTGGAGCCAGGGGTCAGACTAGATGGCCTGGGAGACCCCTTCTGACTCACTCTGTTTCTATGTTTCTATGTTTTTTTCTTAAATACACTGACCAAAAATGACTTGGCCTTGTTATTCAGAGTAACCTTGTGAAATATTTTAATACACCTTTTCTCTCTCAAATGTATGCATACTTATTAAATCCAGAAAGAGCGCCACTACAAGTAAGAATATCTGGGGAACAGGGTTTATCATCATTGCAACTCCCACGATAGCCATGTCACAGCATACCATGTCTCGTGTAGACATGTCTGATGTAGCTCACTATAGCACCCTTACTTATTAACCCAGTAATCAGGATGGTACTATGATTTAAGTGAGCTGAATTAAGAAACTACACATACTCAATGTATTTCTTTTCAGTCAGGATTGGCAAGCAGGTTTTACTTTTGTTTTTTTTTTTCTCCCCTAACATTGGGAATGTAGAAGCAATTGTAAAGCATGGAATAGCAGTGGGAAGGGGGAACAGAAATGTTAACCCAAGTAACAGACAAGGCCATCTAAAGAGGAGGCATAAGTCTGTAAATTTGCCTGCCTTGCACTACTGCTCTCCACTCTTTCCTTTCATTGATCCCAGCCTCCTCCAGAGGTGACATGAAGAAGCAAGCTATGACATATCAAGTCTGGTTGAACATTCTCTGACAGGGTGAACTTTATGTAGCTAGGTTGCTATCACCCCTTGGAGTACATGCAGTAAGATTGCCAATAGTAGTATAGGGTTTTTATGGGGTGAGTGTGGCCTGTTAATTTGGTATTTTGTATAACGATTGTTTAACTGTAATATTTAATTTCTTTTAAATTTATTGCACTGTTTTATATTTGCACTTTTTAAAAACATTTTATAGTTTTCTTAAAATAGATAAGATATAGAAAGAAGCAGGGCATAAGGGAAAAAAGTGAAATAAAATTGCCAAAGGATTTTAAACAAGTATAACCAATACATTCAAAACCTGCAAATTTCCAAAGAGACCAAACATTTCTTTCTGTCAATCAATACTCAGCTGAAGCTTGAACAAAGAATGGCTGTAGTTCTCTATACCGACAAATTTTCCAATCACTTCAAATCAATTATACATCATTGACAATCTTTTAACAAGCTTCCTTTTACATCATATGAATTATACTAGATATAATAGAATTTCCATTATCATTAAATTCTTCAATTGGTCTTCTGTTTACAAATTAGTTAATTTTGTCATCACTGCATACTCTTCCAATTTATTTTTCCAGTCTTCAGTTGTTGGACATTCTGGTCCAACATTTAGAAACAATTTTAATTTTTGCTGCAGTTCTCATGCATTGATTAACTCTGACATGTTCTTTGAAAAGGTCTCTGGCATTATGTTCAACAGCATATTCTTAGGACTCATAGGAAACATAATCTCAAAGGTTCGGTTTTTTTTTAAATCTGCATGTATCAGCTTCCTAAATCTTTTAATTATTTTGCAAATCCAACACATATGGTAGAAAGCCCCACCTACTTTATTGCAATTCCAACATTTTCCATTGTAGTTCCTATCTGTTCTTATTAAATCTTTTGGGGTAATATGTCATCAAAAATATCTTA